GAGAAGGAGAAGAAGAAGAAGGAGAAGAAGAAGAAGAAGAAGAAGAAGAAGAAGAAGAAGAAGAAGAAGAAGAAGAAGAAGAAGAAGAAGAAGAGAACTGTGGCAATAAAAGTTGGAAAGGTTCCTGGTCTCACAGGCATATCATCAGGCTGGCTGTCTCAGGGAGTGTGTGGTGCCAAGCCAAGTTTATTCATCCCCAAAGCCTTCACCCATTCTTTTCCGTTAGCTTTGATTGTCGATCCTGTGTCCCCACTTTGCCACATATGTGTGCTGCTATTGCTGTGAACAAAGTCACTTTTTGTTTTCTCTTTTTATATTTATTTGTTTGTATTTATTTATTTATTATGTATACAACATTCTGTCTGTGTGTATGCCTGCAGGCCAGAAGAGGGCACCAGACCCCATTACAGATGGTTGTGAGCCACCATGTGGTTGCTGGGAATTGAACTCAGGACCCTTGGAAGAGCAGGCAATGCTCTTAACCTCTGAGCCATCTCTCACCAGCCCCCTTTGTTTTGTTTTTTGAGACAAAAACTCAGTATGTAGATCAGGCTAGCCTTGACTCACAGAGACCCGCACGCCTCTGCCTTTGGAATGCTGGAATTAAAGGTGTGTGCCACCATGGCTGGCTTCACTTTTCATTTTTCAGGGTCGATTTTTACAGCATACTTATTTTGCTCTGTGTGTTCTGTGTGTGTGTGTGTTTGTATGTACAACCTTTTTTTGTTTTGTTTTGTTTTGTTTTTTTTCAAGACAGGGTTTCTCTATGGTTTTGGAGCCTGTCCTGGAACTAGCTCTGTAGACCAGGCTGGTCTCGAACTCACAGAGATCCGCCTGCCTCTGCCTCCCGAGTGCTGGGATTAAAGGCGTGCGCTACCACCGCCCGGCTATTTGTATGTATGTATGTATGTATGTATGTATGTATGTATAAGGACAACTTTTGGGGCTCAGTTCTCTAATTCCACCTTGGTTTTGTTTGTTTTACAAAAGTAGAAAGAGAAATTGTAGCGAGAGATTAAAGAAGTAGCTGTACTTGGTTTTCTTTCTTCTTTTTTGTTGTTTTGTTTGCTTCTATAATCCAGTACACTTAATCCACAGAGATATTGAACAAAATAATAAGGGAAACAATATGATATTTAGAGTGGCATTTCAAAAAATGTGCGGATGGGGAATGATCGGCCTTAGCCATATTTTTATAGGATCTCTGCCTTCTGCAGAGCAAGGATAATGTTCTCATTTGTCTACATGATTAACTCTGAAATGTCTACTAACTGTTTTTTTAGTGTGTATAACTGTATGCGCATGCACCACCACGTACCTGTGGTGCTGACGGAGGCCAAAAGAAGGTGTTCCATTGCCTGTAGCTGGAGCTGCAGGCAGTTGTGAGCTCCCCCTCCCCCAAGAACATTACCCAATAGCAGAGTTTCTCTGTGTAATAGCTCTGGTGGTCCTGAAACTCACTCTGTAGACCAGGTGGGCCTCAAGCTCATAGAGATCCACCTGCCTCTGCCTCTTAAATGTATGCTGTACTGCCACCTGGCTACACTGTAACATTTTTATACATATGTGTTATTATGCTTTGCTCTAATTTGTCCCCCTCCCCACCAGCCCCCATTTGGATTTGCTTTTTTTTGATACAGATCTCTGGTAAGCCAAGCTAGCCTCTATAGCTGAGGATGGCCTTGAACTACAGATGACCCTCCTGCTTCTGCCTCCTGAGTGTGGGTACTACGGGCCTGCTGACCCCTCTGGCCCTCCAGGATCTGTCTTTTGCTACCCCTGAGCCAGTCAGGCTGGTCCTTTCCATTCCCCAATATCCAGGCCTTGTCTTGTAGGATGTTCATGAGGCCATCCCTTGAAACCCACTGAGATTGGCTCCAGCCCCACTCCGTGTTGGCTCCAATTCCTGCAGATGTAGATGCTCACATCCCTGGGCATATCCGCTCAAGTACTTTAAATGTGTCTCGTTTACACCCAATGCTATATAAACAGTTGCTAGGCTATTGTT